TTTCGGTGAATTTCACTGCAGACACCGCACGAATGTTTTTTTCACATCTCTTTCGTGTGATTGAGAATTGAACTCTCCGAAATTGTACCTCTGTCGATCCTTAATTTCCCTTGAATTGCATTTCGCGTTTCGGTACTCGCCAAAATCGGCGATTGCGCGTGCTTGCCTCGTTTCTCGTCAAATTATCCGTTCGTAATGAGTCAAATCAAAGATAGTTGTTCGCGTCTCGACAGATCGCGCGATTTTTTCATTTTGCTCTTGTTGTCGGATACTTCAAAATGTGTCGCGAGAAACTCGAACAGAAAGAAGTGAACGGAATAAAACGATCAACAATTAAAAATATTATTTTTACACAGAGACTCTTCTGTAAATAATATCGCTACCGAGAGTACGTGAATTAGACCTAAAAATTATATGCATCAGAGCAAGCTGACGGGTAAGATTCTCGGGGGATTGACAAATGGGAAATCTTGGCAAGTTGTTACTGTTACTGCATCATCTACGTCCGTCACAATTCGGCAAAATTATCTTTTATCAGACATGAAAAAACGCGGACGACTCGCGCGAAAATGATGTTCGCTTTCGTGTCAATGTTATTTTCGTCACCTTATTTAATCACATTCGAGAAGCTCCATTTAAAAACCGTATCAATGATCGCATAAAAATGTATTTTATTAAATTAGAAATTATTTAAATTAAAAGCTAACTAAAAATCATTAAATTATCACCTAAATCCAAACTAAAAACTAAAATTAAAATTAAACACTAAACTAAAAGGACTATAATTGAGAAAATTTAGTTGAAAAGATAAAAAAATTTATCATGCATTATATATATATATATATACAATAATGTATAATGTTCGTTAATTTTTAATTCAATTCTGAAATTTCGAATCATAATTAAATAATTATTATAATTAAATCTAAAATATAAAATAGATTGAATCATACATAATCACATAACTTAATTTAAGGATGTTTTGGATATACAATATTAGCTAAAAGTATCAGTTAAATAATCAGCCAAAAGAAGTTAATGTTAGCCAATATTATTATTCAAAAACTTTTAATGATATTTTAGTCCGCGAATACACTTTGAAGCCAACTGCACAAAACAAAATGACAAATAATTTGTCTTATAATGATTTTATACAGCAAAATGATTATATTTTTCTGCAGTTTTAGATAATAACTTTTAAACGAGTAAGTGAATCTAAATAGACTTTTACACGAATATTTATTATTGTTTAATTAGTATAAAATTTGATTTAATTCTTAATATTATTTCCTCATCAAATTTGCAAATAAGTATTACAAAACGCAATTTTAAGAATCAAATAAATGAAAAAATCAAATAAATGGAAATAATTTTTATATTTAATGGAAATAATTAAATAATTTTTAAACAATAAAAGAATTATGCTCAAATTTTACACAGATATTTGTAATAATAAAACAATCTCTAAAATTTTTATATATTTTTATATATTTTGTATATTTTTTTATATTTTTATAAATTTTTATATGTTTTTGGTATTATTTTTAGATGTAACATCTTCAAAATAATTTGTTAAATGCTAAATTTCATTTTTCAAGCACTGAAATGTTTCTTCAATTGTTCAAGATTCTTCATTTATTATTATTAAAATTTAATTTAATTTAGATATAATGTTAATAATCAGTTGTTTATATTTTATTATATAATAAATATAACGAAAATTGCAAATTAACTAACAATTCATGTTGCAATAATAAGAAAGGAATTATATTCAATTTTGTAATTTTATATTGAAACATTCAATATGTAATATCTAGTCTGTATCTTCATCTATATTTTGTACAATTTTTCCAACTATAACATATATTTTTTTCCTTTCTTTCTTCAAGTCAGCGATTTGAAACGAGCTTCTCGATGTGTCATCATTAATTAGTCGTCATAGATCTCACCACTAAAAAAAGTTTCGTTTCATCTCATCTCAGATTCTTTATCTATCGTAACCATAATCGTCATTTTCCGTTCAAAACGCCCATTATATTAACAACGGACCGTGCGAGCTTTCCCCGACGATCGCAAGTCGTAGCATCGTACTTTGTTCAGCCGTTAGCAAATACTATTTGGTACATGATCACTTTTGCAACAGGAACTATTACATAGCAGTGGCGCTGAGAGTTGTCTCGCGATCGCGTCGCAATGTTTTCGATGCTATTTCGTTCTCGCGAAAAGACAATCTTCAATTCGCATCTCCCAAGAAAGAATCGATTAAGGACGACATTAAAACAAGACGATGTGACGTATCGTCAACGAGTCTGACTGAACAAACTTGAATGTAAAAGGCGGAACATACGCTCGAAGATTTTGTTACCAAGATTCAATTTTGATGAACGAAAATTTTACTTTTAATTTTATCTGCTTAAAGAGATGTTTTTTGGAAAATAAATTTGTCGAATAAATACTTGCTAAGAATCAATTTTCAAATTATGTTCATCGAGAATCAAACTATATGAACGACATCCGACAAAGAGCTCTTGAGTATTTTTCTTGACAGCGGCAAAAATCTCACGCGGTCTAACCACCGACGGAGGAAAGACACAGCAACGAAACCCAAGTGGCAAGCACAGAAACGAGCGGAGAGCAGTTAATGGCGCTTAAGCGTGGATTGAGCAAAGCTCGAATGTTACATCGAGAGTATACCCTGCGGAGAGCTGCGAGTCGGTTGGTAAAAGTCAGTCTTGTGAAGGATAGTGTCTCATGTTGAATCGCGCGCGTGTAAATCTATATAACCCCCGTGCGATGAAAAACTTCACGGAGGGGTCTCTTAATTAACTATCGTGCGAATAACCCTTTGGCTGCGGCATCAAACTATTTTCTCAAAATATCCAAGATCCACGGATGGATCCCTCAGTTCTAGTTGTATTCTAACTATTGTATTGCTTTTATGCAGGGTTGGCAAACGTTACTTTTCAATTACTTTGTCGTTACTTTTTACAGTAAACAATTTAATGACAATGTTGTAATTTTTTATAGCGGTAACGCTAACTAACTAAACGCTAAGGTTGTGCTAAGATTAGAAAAGTCTCTTCGAAAAATAACTTGTCATCATTACGCGTTACTTACTGAAAAAAGTAATAAATAACGAGTAAAAAGTAACGCGTTACTAATTAGGAGTTATTTTTTCCAATAACAAACGACTTTTTCAACTCATTGTAATGAGTAACGATTGACTTTTCTAACTCTGATGTTAGAGCATTATCGTCATAAAAAATTCACAATGTCATTACCAAATCGTTATTATAACAAAATAACAATCAACAAAGAAACGGCGTTACAAGTAACGTGTTACTTGCTGCTTTTATGATATATTTTTTAAGTAAGTAAAATACGTCATAAAAAAATTGTCTGAAATTGATTTAATTTTCTTTGAAATTGTTAAGTACCAAAATCTAACGGTATTACCTAGAACGCTATCGATATTGAATGATAACAGTATTATTACACATTAATATATATACAAGGAAATATGGGCCACTCTTAATTAATGTAACAAACAATTTTGAAACGTTTCACACTTTTGATGATAAAATATATTTTCATAAACACAAATAACCTAATTATTAATTCAAAAAGAAAAAAGAACAAGCGCACTACCAAACTCAATCTTGAAAATTTGGGGGAGAGAGTGTGTAATCTAACATCCCCTAACATTTACCAATAAAACATATGTTTAACATATATATTATAACACAAAATTGCTTAAAACACATATGCTTAACACACGTGCTTAACACATATGTTTAACATGTGTTATAATATATATTATAACACAAAACTGCTTAAAAATTGGAATCACTTCTCACACTCTATTATAACTATAATAGCGATCACATTAAGGAGTACAAACTGATATAAAACGGACTGAATTTTTAAGCTTGTTACCATTTGTCCTAGCTTTTAGTATGGCAGAGTGAACCTCCTGATGACTATTGAAAGCATAGCTTAACACTCAATATCTCGATATGTAAAATTTATTATTGATAGCATTCTAGAGTTATAAATTATTCAAAAATAATCTATCCAAGAATTAAATTATCCAAGAATAAACTATTTCATATTTTTCAACATATCTCTATTTTTTCTATTATTACTTTTATAAAAAATTAAACTTTTTCTATAAATTAAGATGAAAGATAATTTTATGTCAAAGTTACATCCATGTATGATAAAGTTATTTTATAATTTATTTCAAAACAAATTATTTTACAGATTTTTAAAAATATTTTAATTTTGGAAAATATAAATACGCACAGTCATAAATTATATAAAAAAAATCACAAAAATTTTATCTAAAATATTTTTTTATTTACTATTTCAACGATAACTTAGAATCCCATAAAAGCGTTAGCTTTGAGGAGATTATCCTTTAAATATAAAAATATAAAAATATACATATCGCTTATATAAATTTTTATATTTAAAGGCTTCTCCCCACTGAAGCCAATTATGCCGATCAACATATTGGTTTCTTCTTCTTTACAAAAAAATAGAAATCAGTATATTGATTGACACGATCAACTTCAGTAGGCACGAGTCTTAACGACATATTTTAAGAAAAATCAAATCAATTTTGAATTGTAGCATATTTCTTAGTCGAAAAGTATATTGAAAGTTTTATAAACTTTTGAGTTTTATATATGTGAGTGTATGATACGAAGGCGATAATTTTGCAGATGTCAGTATCTCTAGAAAAGTTCTCAATCTCAAATCTCCTAAGATATTTTCTCAAGATAATTAGCTAAATAATCACATTTGCGACATACGTTCGCGAATTAACGCGAGTTTATAACCAGGTCTATCACTGACCGATTGTGATATAGATATTCGCAGCCAAAGGACTAATCGACTATCTGCTCAGCCCTCAATGGGCAAAGGTAACAAATCAATCATCGCTTAACATCAACATACAAGAACGTACCATTCTAGCCAAACGGTCCTATTGAATCCTAATCAGAACCGTTCTGCTGTAGCAAAGCGGGCGTCGATTGCGTTGGTTGCGGCTGCATCGACGACTCCTGGTGATGATGGTGGTCAACAATGGGGGATGGTGTTTCGCTGGTCTGGGAGTTCGTCAGGTCGCCACCACCGCCACTGCTGCCGCTTCCATCCCCTCCCCCACTTCCTACGCACCCACCCCCGCCCCCATCGCCGCCCGAATTCGCGGATTCAAAGGCCTTCTGCTCGCTCGGAGGTAACATATGCACCATATTCACCAGGGGAAAAGACGCGGTGGCATAATCGGCGGGATAGTAGCCCTGCGGCTGCGGCATGTTGCCGCCGAGTAGACCACGATGGGGATAGCCGCTGTTGTCCCCCGGATGCTGCAGCGGCAGACCGGTGAGCCCGTGGCTCATCTGCGCGGACTGCTGGACGGGCTTGATGTTATTGTTATTCATGATTTCAGAGTTATTGGTGCCGGTACAAGTCCTACGTAATTGCTCAAGCTTTAGACTCTTCCCGTATTTACCACGCACGTACATTAGCAAGCTATTATAGGGAATACCAAACATACGACTAGCCTGCGACGTGGTTAGCTTTTTTTCCCAAACATGTTGCAGAGCCAATGTAAGTTCGTTATTCGTCCAAGACCTTGGCGGTCCACCTCGCGGAGCGCTGTGTTGCCCTTTGGGCCTATTAACCGCGAGAGCTCGAGTGTTGTGATCGGTCCATCTACGTGGCGCGTCACCATCATTACGATGCTTTTTTGCCTTTTTAGCGGGCGGAGGGCCGAGACTGGGAGTACCGAAGAGATTTTGCAGCGCTTCTGGCTTGAAATTATCCGTAAGCAGCGAATCCGCGAGGATGCCTCTGTCATACGTGGTGGCATGATGCGAGAAAAGTCCGCCGCCTAGAGCTGTCACGCCGTCTAATGTCGGTGTGAACATCGCCATAGCGCTACGTCGCGGCAAAGCTGATTCTTGTTGCTGCTGTTGTTGATACGGATGAGATCTGCTGGAACCATGCGGACTGTCCTCGCGTGGATGGTGACTTTGAGCCGGCGGCGGCGGCAGTTGACTTTGAGGATGCCCGGGCAGCCATTGGCTGAGGCTTGTCAGGTACTCGGGAGGATGCGGTTGCGACAGCGACAACGTCGGCATTGTCGGTAGCGACAATGCTACAGTTGCCGCTACAGCTGCCGCTACGGCCGCCGGGATGTCTGGTACAGGCCCATCCGGATGATGTAGTAGACTCGTACCTGTGAGCGGTGAGCCGCGAGGACTGCTCGTCGCTTCACTGCCCTCCGTCTTCACATGATGCTGATCTAGTCCACTCGGCGATATAGGTTTCTTCATCGAGAGATTCTCCGCCATGTCCTCTTGCTGCTGCTGCTGCTGCTGCTGCTGGTTCTGTGCGTTGTTAATCGAGTGTTGTTGATGATATTGAGATTGCTGCAGCAATAGCTGCTGCTGCTGCGCCTGGTGCTGACCGCTGAGATTAAGAACGCTCGTCAATGGACTCGAACTGACCGGTGGGGTCGAGCGTCTGCTCAGATCTTGTGGTAACAATTCGCCGGATCGTCGGCGGGGACGCGCCTGTTTCCGACGTGGCATTGACGGCGAGCCGCAACTCTCGCGGATACCAAAGTTCATGTGGCCAATGTGCGACTTGGCCTGATGGTCCCTCGTTGGTGGAAGCAGGATAGGTTTCATATCCGCTGTGCTTTCCAACGCGTTTTCATCCTCTTCCGGTGTACCGTGTCGTGCGACTTCTGGCGTTGGTGATCCAGCCAGAATGAGATCGCGCGTCGGCGTTGACGCCAACGACAATGGCCTGGGTTCCGTCGACACCGGTCTCGGCTCCGATGACGATAACCCACGCACCTGCAGACATTCCGCGGCCTTCATCAGCCCCGGTAACTCCTCTTGGGCGATTTGCACCTCGCCGCGATATATAAAGTGCACCAAAGTGGACAATTCATGATGCGAGAAGTCCTTCAGCACGATCACGGGGTGCTTGCACGGATTTTCAGCGAATATTCTCTCGAAGAAAGGACTGTAACATAGGGAAAACGACTCCATACGATTACGATTAGGTCATTCTCTTTTAAAATTTGGAAATCCAAAAAAAGAAGCAAAAGAAAGCGTTTTTCCATTTTGATTGATCCACCATGTATTTGCGCTAAGTACGTTGCGACACAATCGCGGAAAATTTTGCACCGCGATATTTGCAACGTTACATGCGTCCCAGGCGTGAAACGTTGCATGTCTTCGCTCAGTAAGACAGAACGATAGCCAGAAACCGCGGGCAAAAAGTCACCGCAAGGATTAGCGCTCCTTCCCTGATCGAGCGACGGCGAATCAATCAGATGGTACAAGACTTTCGCTCGTTGTCAACTTTACGTCACACGTCTCGCGTGAAGCGAGAAGAGCGTTGTGGTAACGTGTAGACGGTACGAGGCGGCACTTAGTTACCCGGTAAACCACGAAGGTAAGAAGCGACGAAGAAATTTTTCTTCGGATAAGAGAGACCTGCCGAGTGCAAGAACCATTCTCGGTTTTCAATGCGCGTCGCTTCTTTAAGATACACTATACACTTCCGCTGATCAATAAAACTTGACCAATTATTTTTAATCGAAGAACCGCTAGAAAGGCAAGCAGTGTAGGAAGTTATTGTCAATAGATACATGGGCAAAGGCGATGAGAGAATTTAGAAAGCTTTAAAACCTTTGCCGTCGAATTAATATTTCTTATTCTGCAAGCATTCTTTTTTTTAGTTATCGAGAGAAGGAATTTTACTTACAACAACGTGAGTATAGTGTATCATTTTTATAAAGGATACAAATTTTCAAGAGTTTCATGACCACTCGAGAATCGTTTTATTTCTATGTTTTCTTATGTATTTTTCTTCGTAGAAATCAAAAATAATTATTATAATATCGGCAGACTTAAGGAAAAATTAGTACATCGAAATAAAATGAATAAAATCCCCATTCTCATTGTTATAAAATCACTGTTAGTTATGTTTCAACAATTTATTTATAAAATTAATTCCAAATTGGATCAAGTGCGAATAATATTGCACCATATAACGTTAATTAGATTATATTTTTCACATTATAACATTTGTCATCTCGGTACCGTTTCCCCCACTCCAAGCGTTGCGCATCGCACGGTACCGATATAACAAATGTTATAATGAAAAATATAGTTTAATTAATGTTTTGTAGTGCAATATTATTCGCATTTGATTCAATTTGGAATTTCATAAATAAATTATTGAAACATAATAATGGAGATGGCTCCTTTTGTCTGGCCTACAAATCGATTGCCTACAGTGTCGTTTGCCTACATCACTTTTACCGATAGTGTATTTATTTGCGCACAAAAATTATTGCCTACTAATCGATTGCCTACAAGCACTTTTGCGCACAAATATAAAACTATAGTTAAGTTAAGTAAGAAAATAATTTGTATTTTTAAAGCAGAGAATTTATGTTTTAAAGCAAAGAATTTGTTTTAAAACAGAGAATTTGTGTTTTTAAAGTAGAGAATATAGTACATGTAGGCAATCGAGCTGTAGGCGATAATACATGTAAGCAATCGATCTGTAGGCAATAATATATGTAGGCAAATGTGATTTCGTCTTTGAAAATTTTATTTATGCGCAAAAGTGCTTGTAGGCAATCGAGCTGTAGGCAATAATACTTGTAGGCAATAATACTTGTAGGCAATAATACATGTAGACAATAATACATGTAGGCAATAATACATGTAGGCAAATGTAACTCTGTTTCTAAAATTTTTATTTGTGCGTAAAAGTGCATGTAGGCAATAATTTTTGTGTGCAAACGAACTGTCGGCAAAAGTGATGCAGGCAAACGATACTGTAAGCAATCGTTTTGTAGGCAAACGGGATACCATTTGCCTACAAAATAATCCCACCATAATAATGATAGTAATTTTATAACAATGCGAATGAGGATTTTATTCATTTTATTTCGATGTGTACCAATTTTTTCTTAAGTCTGGCGTTATTATAATGATTATTTTCGGTTTCTACGAAGAAAAATACAGAAGAAGACACAGAAATAAAACGATGAGTGGTCACGAAATCCTTGATAATTTGTACCCTCCTTTATTGCATAAAAAAAATTGTTCTTTATAAATAACGAAAACAACACGTGGATGTTTCATTTTGTAGAACTGCAGCGAACATAAAAATAATTGTTCCAAATATAATAATAATATAATAATAATTTCTCTTTGATTTGATTCATTCACTGAAAATAAAAATTTAGTTGATCGTCACAAATAAGGGAAAAGAGCCTTATTTAGTAAAAAATTTAGTACCTAATAATATTAAATAATAATAGAAAATAATATATTAAATATAATAACAATAATATTAAATTTTGAATATATTTTTTCAGTTCTATAAATACGAGTCGATCGAATTCGGTCGGCGTTAATTGAAGCTGGAAATAATATCAGAATAAATTAAATTTATATATAATATACCGCCAATTTAATAATAATGCTCATAAGCATCTTGCAAAGAAATTATTGTGAAAAATCACCCAAAGTAAGGTTCGAACTCGAATCTTTTTACTAACAGAGACGAGTGTCTTTACCAATTCGACCACTGACAATGAGACACGTGATGATAATTATATCGCAATAATAAAAAATAAAATAATAAGAAAACGTCATTTTCAGATATTTTTATGAATAAACAATAGACAATAAATTGAAATGGAACATATCAATTCATTTTCACTTATTATTGTTAGTCAGTGACATCGTGTTGAAAATAAAAAGGAACAAAAGTTTAAAATAAGATTCAGCAAAGAAATTCTACTTTTAAGGCTTACTTACCTGCAGGCGCTGAGGACAACTTTGTGTGCCTTGACGCTGCTGTCAGCGCAGATCAGGGTCACGTCGACGAGCATCTCCGCTTGCAGCAGCTCCTCGAACGCCCGTTGTATGTGGGCGAGATGATTGTGCCATCGTAAGGAGTAGTGCGATTGCAAAGCCATTCTGTCAGGACTGTTCCCGACGCTCGACATTTTTCTTCCGCCGTTACCGCCGGAAGCTGATGAGTTAGCAGAGCCGCCACCTTGTCCCGCTCCGTTCTCTCTCGTGCGTCTTTGTGGTCCTGCGTAAGTCTATCTTTGCCATGCACGCACACACGTGACCACGTATGTACTATGGTGCCAACTACCTTTGCGTTTCCCTTCTTTGACGCCTTGCTGCTATTCTGGCAGTTTTTCTAAAATTTGAAAATGTGAAAAGGATTCGGTTAAAATAGGTTCTCTTAAGCGTCCACGATGCGAAAAACTGGTTCTTGGTACAATCTCGGACAGAGAAAGAATCTGGAAACACGATAGTGTCTCGGCGCTAAACCAAGCGCAGTGACACTGCCGTAACTACTTTATGCGATTATTAATAAACCACATTTGAATAATTCAGTTACATGACCAATGCGATTAGCCAATTCTTTCTTCATCTGAGATCTAGGTCCGAATTTAGCATAGCTTTATATAAAGGAAAGAAGAGATGATGAAGTAAGAAGAAGGAAAGCATAAACAGGAAATCAGGTACCTAACAACGCATTATTCTTTTGAAGGTCATCCTTTCGAAGGAAAGTTTCCAAGTGACCTGTTCTTTTCCCCACCCACTTATCGTCGAAGTTTCGGAGGATCCACAGACGTGCGCTCACGACAATAATAAGAGTAATTATTAATTAGTGTTTTACATGTTCGAGATGAAAGTCAACGTATCGCGTACGGATGTTGTTGATTACCGTGTGTCAATTTTATGGGATTATATTTTTCCACTTGTGTTACTTTACTGTTTACATATTTCATGGCCATATCCCACAAGTCCATTTATAATAAATCGGTGTAAAATTAACATTTTAAATCATTAAAGACTTTTTATTGCTCATGTGGCGCGAAATCGGCCATTTCGCTTTCCACACATATTACCTAAACAACTGATGCAACACTGCAAATACAACACGTTTACAGGAGATACGCTTATAGCACACACACCAATATATAACGAACCTATGAAGCGCATATAGATGTGGACCCGTTTTAGTGTCTGTTGATAGCGTATCCTTGCCATATGCATATGTAGTAAACTTATTGTAAACATTTACAATCTGATATCACTGCTCTAATCAATTATTTTGGTTGGTAGTTTTCATAAATATGGGAATTTAAACCTCTTTACTATCCTCAATATGCGTCTTTATGAATTCGACCACTGAAGCACGGTGATATTTATGGTAATAAATAAAAATAAAATAAAACGTCATTTTCAATTATAAATAAACAATAGATAATAAATTTAAATAAAACATATCGGTTCATTTTCACTTGTTTAATTGATTGTGACATTATATTGGAAATCTATCTCGGTTTCCATAAATATATTTTTTCTTTTTTCTTTTTTTAAAGAAAAATTAACAAAATACAAGTAAGATAAGCTAAACCGTTACAAAGCGATTTGTTGCAGGAATAGTTTCAATCTATGTCTCGTATAGAATGTGACAGATATTCGTCTTTTGAATAAGAAAAGGTAACGGCCGTGTTGGGAATACGATTTTACAAAGACTGGAAGTGTTATGCTGGTATTATCGTCACTGAGTACACAATCATCAGATACGTGCTGCTTCCGAGATGGTACACTCATTAATTATTTCTAGCAACTCTCTTCTAGCCGAATATGCGATAATTATGGAGTCACACTTCGTGCGATTTACCTGCCAAATATTTAACGTTAGTACTCGTTTCATCGACAGTCGGATGTGTTTGGCTATAGTAAAAAAAAAGAGTAATAGCTACCAAATGTTTAATGAAATAATTTCAATCAAATGTTAAATTAATATAACCAAAAATAATTTTACTTATCTAAATATTTAGTAAGTATTACCAAATATAAAATAATATAACCAGCATTTGATTTAATAATTATTAAATATTTATAGAAAAGTAAAATTATTTTTGGTTATATTAACAAAATATTTGATTGAAATTATTTCATTCAACATTTGGTAGCTATTACCAAACTCTTTTTTTAGTGTATTAATAATTTCGTGTTTGGTAAAAAGGGGTAACAAGTGGCGATCACGATTAATTTCCATGCTTTCTATAACCAATATTCATTGTGTCGGAGAGGAATTTTCTAAATCGACACGTGAAAACATAAGAGAACATTTCACGATACCGAAAATGTCGATCGTAATTATCCGTTTGCAACTTCCAAACGAATAAGAAGAACAATTAACAAATTGTACGATTTATTTGGAAGATTAATCAAGTTTATCCGTGCTCTTCATGTCTGATCACTGACTGACAATGCATCCGTCTAATTCTTGGAGAGTTGCTAGAAGACACTAATTCACGAGAGTAACCCATCTCTATCAATCATCCATTAAATTGCAGCGATTCGTAAACTTGTCGAGGAGGCACGTTAGACAGATACGAGTGAGACTTTTGTTTTTTCTCTTTAATCGTAATGCTTTTATATAAATATACAATTTCAAAGTAGGTCGATGAGGTGCCCATAATGTGAACTGTACTTAACAAAATTGCAAATTCATTTTTAATTAGTTGGTGCAATGACTCTCTTCCTTCTTCTCTCCCTCCCTCCCTCTCTCTCTCTCTCTCTCTCTCTCTCTCTCTCTCATCCCTCTATGTCAATAAAATACACTATTTAACATACAGGTATGTTTTGCATGCAATTCTAACGGAACGGATGGCCCTTGAGTTTCTATACGTTTCTCTAGTTGTCTGTACGCGACACGAATTGAAACGAATGACGTAGCGTTCGTGCGTTTATTTTATAATTAAAACGTAATTAATGCAAAAGGCGACACACGTACGTAGGCGCGTGACGACGCGACCTGGAACGATCGTACACCTCTTCAACATCACGTCATTTGCACATATGCTTCGATTATAAACTGCATCCAGTGAAAAACCCACTTACGGATACACGCTCGATAAATCACTCCGGTCGCAATTACGCCAGCGATAATACAATAACGATAAAAATAATAAAATCGCGCGGGGTAAAGAAAACGCAAACACACCGCATGTGAAATAGGAGACTTCTCCCGCTCAATTTGCGTTCGAAAGAGCTTCTACGTGAAACGAATATCTCGACAGTAGGTACCGCGCGACTTCAAAAATCTCGGAAAATAGAATCGTGATATCAGAACGGAGTAGAGGAGTTTCATCTACGCCCTGCGTTGTCAATCATCCACCGTCAGAATCACTGACACTATCGGTGCTAAATGAGCAATTAATAAAAGTGTTCCCTCTATACCATCGGATAATTAATTGCCAAGCACCCTTGCCATCGTAAACAGTCCCTCTCGTAGAAGATTGAGGTAAGCACACAACAAACTACGATTAATAAACGAGATAGGCACATAAACTATAAATAACAATAAAATACAAATAAATAACGAATCCTAGGCCGCAGTCCGATTCAAGTTTATGACGTTTAAAAATTATTTTATTCTTGTTGTTTATTAAATGTTAAACAAGGACAAGTGACGCTCATGAGCGTTGTGAACATGAATCGGATTGCGGTGCTAATGTCACACAGTAGAATTAAGTAACTGAACTGGTTTTTCGACTACTACGGCTTTTAACTCACGACAGTGAACATAAAATCGGCAAAAGCGACACTCAAAAACCCGTTATTTTTCTTTGACAAGAAGTACTCTGTGCGAGAGGAGAAAAATACTTTTCTCTTTCCCATTGTTCGTAATTCACATGGAGCTCTCCCAGGGAACCGCCGGGCCAGGATACGTCACTGTGCGCCGTCGAAAACTCTCCGCAAGTTTGTTGTCAACTCGCACGTGTTCGGAAAAAGCGCGGATTTACGTTAACCAGTTATTCTTCCTCTTCTATTCGGCCACGCTTCATCTTCCTTTTTTATTTCCGCATCCGCATATCGACGAGATGCGTTGTGTGTTATACGCGAACGAACTATTAATCGTAACGATGCATAACATCCGGAATTTCTCATCAAACGATTTATACGGAAAAGAAGGAACACACTGGATACCCGCGATTTTCGCGAACAATGAAACTATTCTCTGCGTCCACATTCGAATCGAATCTCGATCGCACATGTGAAGAAATTCGGCTCGAAGCTCATCTCTAGGTTCGACTTGAGGTTTAGCTTGAGTGTGAGTATACAGTGTACATTAGGGCTACATTCCATTTGGCATTTACAACGTCTGTGAGCACCATTTATTCTTGTTTACATTTGATAAACAAGAATGGAGTAATTCCAAGAATGCTGTGTGCATCAAATGGAACGTAGTCTAAGAAGATTTTGTACGTTTTCGTCGTACCATAAATTTTTCAAGTCTGTTGATTGGCTATAGTATAAAGCAGGCCTGTTCAATTTGAGCTTTGGAACGTAAAGTCATCTCTAAAATGCAAAGTCATCGACGCAAAAAAAATCAATGTAAGATTTCATGGACTGTAAAGTGTTGATAAGCGTCGCTCAAATGCGTATCAATACTTTACAGTCTTCGAAATCTTACTCATTGATTTTTTGCGTCGATGACTGCGTTTTTTGGTTCTAAAGCTCAAATTGAACAGGCCTGCTCTATACTATAGCCAATCAACAGGCTTGAAAAATTTATGGTACGACGAAAATCTACAAAATGACTTTGCATTTTAGAGGGATTCGAGAACCTCTCTGTCCTACAACCTTTGTTGTACAATAAAAATGGATAAATGAAACAGCATCCTAAGAATAGATCACGATGGACAACTGTATATACAGAAAATTGAAATTTTCATAATAGAAATACACGATAATCCGGTAACCAGACAAGAAGATCAGATTCCTACCCTTATCATAATTTTGATATCTAAGAGATATATATGTGAGAAAGTTGTCGCAACTCATATTGCTATCGTTTCTAAGCGAATCATTATTAAATTATAAATCTGGAAAAACAATCTGGAAGAAAATAACAAGTCTACATTGAAGAAACTATTATTATCAAAGATTAAAAGAATTTATATTT